GCTGCGGTACAACATAGGGTGAAATGGAGTATAGGTAACTGCTAGTATTTTTCATAGGTGCACCATACTGCTCTTGCTTATCATTCTATACTGGCTAGTGTTCATGTAGTCTGTAGTCTAATGACCACACTGTAGTCTAATGACTAGTTCTTGCAGCACACCGCTAGCTATAGCAAAACTCTGTTGCAACTTATTGAATTGTGTAGATTGTGGTTACAAGTGGTATTAATAGAATGTTTCTTTCCAGGTCTACTGTGTCAGCTGTGTGGCCGATGCCCCTGCAAGGGCCGCGATGCAGAACGTCATGCAATACAACGGCTATTACGGGTGCTCTTGGTGCCTCCATCCTGGGGTTTGCATTAACGGTAAGGAAACAGAATATGATCGTCCAGTTTTTAAGTTATTTATTGGGATGTGTGAATATTTTAAACTCTTGAACTTTTAACTTTCGTGAAAGAATTACGACAGGGACAAGTACTGCTTTCGGCAAAGGTGTTCAGCATTACTACTGGACTGTTATTCCTGCAATGCAAATTTTCAGTCAAAGGCACCTAAACTTCAACATCATGTAGATCCAGCATCGGTCTCGGCATGAAAAAGTGGGGTGGAGGTGGCATCAGTCCCCGCTTCCGCCCACGTTCACACTTTTAGAGCACAGCTCTTAGGTGCCCGTTTCCGGCTTGAGCGGCATCGCCGTCGGCGTAACTGTGAGGTCACGCAACTTTCCCCTGAGGTAACGTGACCCCTCCCCCGAGGTCACGTGACCTCGTGTGGCCCCCTTCACGGAGTAGCAGGCAGGATGACAAGGTGAGGAGGGGGGAGGAGGGATGTACCTTCCCTACTCCTCCTCAAGAGCTGCACTCTAATTCGGCGTTACAGGGAGTTGTAAACGGCTTTCTTTTTTTTTTACAAGGTATCTACCAACCTGAAATTGTCAGGGAATTTTAATCATCTGAAAACTATGGGGATACTCAAACCAAGGATACTCAAAAAATTTGCTATATCAGGGGGAAATTACCAGTGAAAATGGCACGATGATACGCAACAAAGCTCAGCGGTCGCTCATTCGCACGGCTACGCTAATAAATGTTGCCTGAAACATCACTAGGGAGCTATACCTCCATCTTCTAGCAAGCACAAGCATACTATAACAATTATTAAAGAAGTAATTTAATAGATGCCACTTTGTAGGGTGTGAATAGTGAAACACTATGATTGCTGATAGAAGGATGTTTTTAGCTATCGCACATTATTTGGTGTTTGCACGTTACAATAACGGGCTCCGAAACAGGGGGGGTCGGGCGGGGCGGGGCGGGCAGTCGCCCCCATGCTCAAAGCAGGTCCACCCCCCCCCCCCCCCCCCCCCCTTCTCCCCTCCCATCACCGTGCATATATATATATATCTGTGTGTGAGGAAAAACAGAGGTGAACTACACAATGCGACATGAGCCCCCATACGTCTCCCCCACTTATCAGATATACTTCCGGAGCCCCTGTACGATACTCTGTTATTGCGAATGAAGGTGGGACCAATGCCGCCTTTTTTTCATGCAGTGACAAAGGCTGGGTACGCTTCATGCCTTCGGTGTCCCCTTAGAAACTTCTTTTAATATCAAGGAGTGTTATCACCAGCATTAGCAACCTCCTCTTAGAACATCGGTTAAACAATTGACTCCACGCTGCTTGCAATGAGTGCACCGAAACCCAGGCTGGAATGACAGAGTTGCTCAAATTTGGGGAAACAAGTTCATTTTCTCACAATCATTGCCGGTTATCTTTCTATTAGGCAAGCATGTCTAGGCAGGTTGTGCAAGACAGAACATCTCTGCAGTGCAGTCTTGAAGTTTTTAGTTTGATTTTTTTAGGTTTTGTATTTCCCCTTGCAAAAAGTCTGCTTTGCTTCAACATTATTTAGATTTAAAATTTGCACAACGTAATTATTTGCTTCATATTTGCTTTAATATTAAGAATCGCTGCTCACACGTTCGTAGTTATTTATCATTTTCTTGACTGTCACTTCTGCAGGTTGCGTGAAGTACCCCGTGAGCGCGGGGGTGATGGACGATCGCACCGAGCTTGGCATGGTTGCAGACATGGCAGAAGCCGCAGCATCCAAACAAGCAGTCCACGGTGTTAAGGGCCCTTCGCCACTTGTAAACGTGCCTGGTTTCGACATAGTCTGGGGTTTTACCCCAGACTATATGCACTGCGCCCTTCTTGGTGTAGGGCGTCAGTTTGCCGAATTGTGGTTTTCTGGTGTGGGTGAAGATTACTACATTGGACACCCTTCGCGACAATCCATCGTAACTGAGCGCTTGTGTAGCCTGAAACCGCCACAGTGCCTGAACCGACCGCCACGAGCCCTGAGGCTGAGGAAGTACTGGAAAGCAGCCGAGTGGCAATGCTGGCTTTTTTACTACTGCCTTCCTTGTTTGAAGGGCGTGCTGCCAGCTGAATATTATGCGCACTTTGAGCTTTTTGTGTCTGCTTTATATCTTCTAACTAAGACGGAAGTTCTAGATGAAGATGTGGAGCTGGGTACAGAGAAGATGACCGAGTTTGTTGTGAAGACCGAGTTCCTCTACGGAAAAGCACAGATGACCTCAAACGTCCACACGCTCCTGCACCTTCCAAAGGCTGTGCTCCTCCATGGGCCATTATGGGCACTATCTTGCTTCCAGTTTGAGTCGAACATGGGGCATCTGCTGAAGCTTGTTTCCTCGTCGAATGGTGTGCCCTTCCAGATCTTCTCCCGCATTCTCCTCCGCAACAGCTTTTATCAGCTGAGGAATATGGTTTCGGACGAGGTCCGGGCACACCTTCCGACGAGGAAACACTACAAGCCAGGTGACTTGCACCTTCTTGGAAAGCCCAGGCAGCTGCCCCAATGTCTGCATAGACTGGTTGAGGAGGAGCTGGCCTTGGAAGTGGCACAGGAGCTTGTGGAGTTTGACCGTGCACGTGTTGCTGGGCACATTTTTCATAGCAAACAGTACCGAGCTCCAACAAAGCGGGACTCGACGGCGCTGAAGCTGGGAGATAATTTTGTCAGAGTTGAACACATCCTTTCTGAAAGTGATGGGGGTGGAAGCCCGAACGTGTACATTGTTTCACATGTTTACGATGTATCTGATTTTGGAAGCGTAGGACACCTCAAGCTTGCCCACAAGCAACCCACTAAGGTATTGCACAGGCTCTGTGGGCATGTTAACCCATGCATGTACTTGGACATAGATGGCATTGTTCTGTTTGCTCAGCTCTGCAACAAGTATGAGTGGTCCTAGATTTGTAGGACCGGTCATACTTGTGTGCTAGAAGTAAACTAAAGGGGAGGCAAATCAAAGAGTAAAAATTATTTTCATCTATGCTAGTTATTGCACTCATGGTGTGCATAATTAACTGGTTGCACTGATTTACCCACATATCCAGGCTGTTTCCCAGCAACATAATGAAATTTGGTTTTCATTATCAATTTTTCACTATAAGAGTCTCATGGGGCTCGCGAGCCGCAGTTTAGCCACCTTTGGTCTATTGCCATTATTGATTTCACTGTTTGACCCAAATTAATAAAAATTATATAATGTTTCAAAATTTTTTAGGTCTTCCCTTAGAGAACTAGGACAATTAAGTGAATGTTTTGTGACCTGCAAAGTTGGGAACTAGAGTTATTTGCATGTCATTGTTATTGTGTTTTTGTTGTGTTTCTGCCCCTTTTACTTGGTGCCACAGTTGTACTTTTGTGTGTTGTCATCAGTTCTTGGTAGATTTTATTGCCATTTGTCTTGCTGAAAATGGCAGGTTGCTTTGCTGTGGAATTTGTGTGTGCTACGCATGTTTATTTTTAACTTTCTTTGATGTTCAGATAGTAGTGTTTTCCTTCCTGTACCTACTTTTGCTAAATTTCTGCAGAAATAATTGTAAATAAATGAATCGGTAGTTGTCATATACTGAATTGTCGATCTCATTAATATGCTTTTCACAAAGCATGTTGATTTTCACAGTCAAACGAAGTGATCTGGTGTCTCCAAGCTATGAAATGGCTACAAGTCCCACCTAGTGGTAAAGTGTACACTACCAAAATATACAAATTGCCACAGGATCCAAGGTTACTATGAGTGATGTCACCACATGGTCAAGAAAGTTTTGATCTGCCAATTGACACCCAAATATCCAAATGGTATTTCATCATTGACCAGTTAAAGGGGTGCTCTGAAGAGGTTCGTAAGAAATGAGTTAGAGGTAAATTCTGGCATATTTTCATCCTGTGAATCTGAATATCGTGTTTGTTTTCCTGAAGTTGTAACTAAACAAAAAACCTCCAACCAGTCGTTACATCATACTAGGATCTTTCGACCACCAAAAGTGTGTAGCTCGTGTGCAATTGCAAGCTTACCAGGTAAATTCCCCTACACTGACACCAGTCGTGATGACCTTTTTGAAAATGGCAAGAGTGCGCGTGCACAGCTTTGATAAGCGCTGAAGATGTGCGAGAGCGGCGATTCCAAAAACTCTTGATATGTAATGTCGCGCCCCAGGGAGGAGGGGCATCGAACAGCGGTACTTTGAAAATGATTTTGTGCAGCCTCTGTGAGCCAAATTGAAAAATAATCTAGATATTCGTGTTCCTGAAGGCCAAGTTAAGACGATTTAAGTGTTTTTCCTCAAATATAGAACCGCTTCAGTTTTCCTTTAAACTGGTACTCTGAAGTCAAAGTGGTCTAATCCAGACCACTTTGGGCTCCAAGTGGGACCACATGGCTAAAGTGGTGTGATGCAAGTGGGCAATGTGAACCCAAGTGGTACCACTTTGAATTAAAGTGGTGGTACACAAGTGGTCGATATGAACCCAAGTGGTACCACTTTGAATTAAAGTGGTACCACTTACAAGTAAAGTGGCACCACTTGCAAGTTAAGTGGGACCACTTGAACTAAAGTGGGACCACTTGTACAACCACTTTGAATTTTTACCTGGGCAGGTGAAGATCCAGCCATATACTCACATCTTCTGGTTGAAGAGGAGCTCCTTGTGGAGGTTCTTGCGCTCTGCAGACTCTGCACAGGGGTTGAGGGGCTTGCGGGGAACAATGAGGCCATCCTCGCCCATCTGGACCCGGCCCATGTTCTCTCCGGACTGGATGCTGCCCGTGGCCATGCCGGGCATCCTGAGGGGGCGGCGCCGGTGGGGGTCCTGCTCTTCCTCAGAGTCGCTGTAGTCCGGGTCAGGGATCATGGCCGGGAAGAACAAGTCTGCGGGGACAAAGGACGGTCGGGCGCCGTTAGAGTAATCAACAAATACCAGGACTACAGTTACATAGAAACAAGCGTTGCAAAAGCGACAACTTCGTTAATGTATTGTTTGCACACCATGTTTGTGAGGACAAAGGATAGGCACGAGCAACATTAGAATCCAGAACTTTGGAACCGTAGAATACCGCACATCTGCCCATTCCACATTAAGCGCCCATTGCCAAATTTGTAATATCTGAGAAACTATGCACAGTACATTATTATGTAAAATTGATGACTGGACAAGCGTCCATCCCCCATTTTTTGGCGATTATCTTCATAGTTTCAGTGGGCACTTGCCCGGTATTTTACGGTAATTAATTACTGTGCAAGGAGTGTTTGGCAAAGCGATGGTTCATCAATGCATATACCAAAACATTCTACAAAAGCTACAAGTGAATGTAGCATACTTCTTTTTTATTCTCAAGACATATCTGTGTTACGAATAAAAGTGTCCTCCTAATGCTTTTTAAGTTTCAGCTCAGTTTGCCTAAAAAATAAGAAGCAGTAGAAACTTTTTATGACCAGTAGAAGTATGTATGTAAAAACATAGCTTTTATTTGATCTAGTCTGGTCAACTGTCAGAGAAAAAATTGGATTTGTTAATTTTATAGCTCAACACATGATGAATAAAGGTTATGAATTGTAGTACAGTGCAATCCACTTAAAACGGTAATGAGAAAGCCCAAAAATTCAATCATTATAACCGATTATAGTTGTATCTGGACGAGAAACTCTAGAAGGTAATCGTTAGAAGCAATATATTGCCGCGCGCAAGGCTGAGAAAGCAACGCTCGGTCACGGTCCTCCAGAAAGTTCCCGTTTATTCATGTAGCGCACGTAACTTCTATTATTTATATCCATGTATCTTCTGCTTTTGTTTTCTAGAAAGTGCGTGTTCATTCTCGCCCCGATCACGCGACGCTCGAGCCGCTTTCGCCGAATCTTCGAGATAGCGACGCACTCTAGATAAGAGGCCGCCCGCGACCTTGTCGAGTCAGTTTTCGCTCCAGCGTTCGACTGTGCTGCTACGCCGACTTCGACGCCCGCGACGCTCTGTTATTATCTTTGTTCTCCCTTTATTTTTTTTGGCACAAGTTCGCCACATTAAACGTTTATTTCTTCCCGTTTATTTCCTTTTATTTTGGTCACCACCCGTGACATTTTGGTGGAGGTGCGGGGTAGCGCATGCCCGTGGAGCGTTCCCCTCCCAGGGCCCGCAGTGCAAGCCCGATTCCGAGCCCGGTGAGAACACCACTCGACGCGGAACCTGAAACTCGGACCAGTCGCCGCACCCAAGGTCTGCACCCGGAATACGGACTTCTGCCACCCAGGACCAAGCAGCCGACGAAGCCGACGATGGACGGCCAGCAGCCACAGACCCCGGCCGCTCCTGCCTTTATCTACCTGCCAGTCGCACCCCGGACTCCGACGCGATTCCACGGGGACGCCCACGAAGACGTCGAGGACTGGCTTCAACAGTACGAGCGGGTGGCCCAGCACAACCGATGGACGGACGACCAGCGCCTGCAGAACCTTTACTTCGCGCTCGAAGGAACGGCCAGGCACTGGTTCGAGAATCGGGAGACATCATTGATCTCGTGGACCGCCTGCAAGAATGAGTTGAGGCGAACTTTCACAAACCAGTATCGACGGGAGAGGGCCGAGGACCTTCTTCGAATGAGAACCCAGGGCGCAAACGAGACCATCACCAGTTTCGTCGAGGATGTCCTGCGCCTGGTCACTCGCGCCGACCCTCAAGCCACCGACGAAAAGAAGTTGCGGATCCTGATGCGAGGCGTACGAGATGACATTTTCGGAGGCCTCGTCCGCAACCCGCCGACCACCGTCGAAACGTTTGTAACAGAGGCGACCAACATTGAACGGGCCCTGCAAGCACGAGCCGCTCACTTCCACCGAGCTCCTGCCGTCGCTGCACCCACGCCGTCAAGCTGCGCCCTCAGCACCAATACTCCGGGGATCCGAGAAATAGTCCGGGACATCGTCCGTGAAGAACTGAAGAAGCTGATACCTGCCGCCGAACACCCAGCTTCACTCTCGATCGCCGAGATTGTTCGAGAAGAGGTCCAGCAAGCGCTCCAGCCAGACGTTCTCGCCGACGCCGCACCGAAACCACCAGCTGTGACCTATGCCGCCGTTGTTCGTCGTCCGCAGCCTCCTATTGCTCGGCAGTACCCAGCTGCATCCCAACGAGAAGTCTCTTCGCCGCAGTACGCGCCGCGCCAAGAGCAGCGTGGACTTCGAAAGACCGACGTGTGGCGCACGGATGACGGACGCCCGGTGTGCTTCCACTGCGGGGAGGCTGACCACGTTTACCGGAGGTGCCCCTACCGCCAGCTCGGCCTGCGAGGATTCGCTCCAAACGACCGTCGACCTCGTTTTGGAGAACGACCAAGGGACGTCGAAGAATACCTCCGTCGCCCTCCGTCACCAGCGCCCACCGCACCACGAGGTTCCCGTTCTCCATCCCCCCGACGTTCCGCGTCGCCTTTCCGTCGGTCGCGCCGTGACAGCCTGTCCCCCTTATCCCGTCGGGAAAACTAAGTGCGGCAACGCCTGGAGGTGCCGTTGCCGAAGACGACCCGAGTAAAGAGCCTCCAAGAACGCCGGAGCGCTCCCACTCTCCCGACGTCACGCATCGCTACGACGCCCTGCAACGGTGTCCAACAACCTAAACGTCGTCATCGACGGCCACGACGCATCGGCACTCGTGGACACCGGAGCAGACTACTCAGTCCTGAGTGGGAGGCTCTCCCGCCGCCTTCGAAAAGTCATGACGCCGTGGGAAGGACCCCAAATACGAACCGCCGGAGGACATCTCATCACACCAGTCGGGAGATGCACTGCTCGCGTCGAGATCCACGGTGAAACGTGCCCTGTCAAGTTCGTCGTTCTGCATGACTGTTCGAGGGACGTTATCCTTGGAATGGACTTTCTCTGCGAGTATAACGCCGTCATCGACCTCGGAACAAATCGGCTGACGCTACGAAAACCTGCTCCACCAGCGGAGGAACCCCAAGCGACGTCACCCACGGTACGAGTCCTCGCAAACCACGTAAACCTACCACCGCGGTCGAGTGTTTTCGTACTTGTCGGGATCGATGAAGCTTCCTCTGGCGAAGTTCTTCTCGAGGGAAGCCTCCAATTGCTCCTGGGAAGAGGCATAGGCGTCGCAAGGGGAGTAGCTGAACTTCAGGATGGGCGGACTGTGGCCCTCGTGACAAACTTCCGAAACGAAACGCAACACCTCACGAAAGGTGCAGCCGTGGGCCACGTCGAGAAACTCCGAAACCCCGCCGAAATCACCGCGATTACTGACGAATCCTCGCCACCCCAGCAAGACAGTACGTCGCCAGCGCAGCTCGACATTGACCCTAAGCTTCCGGACACTAAACGGCGTCAGCTGGTTAACCTCCTCGCCGAATACCGCGACTGCTTTGCGACGTCGTCGAAGGTGCGCCAGACCGCGGTTGCCAAGCACCGCATCGTTACCGAGGACGACGCGCGCCCTGTGCATCGATCGCCGTACAGAGTCTCCGCTAAGGAAAGGGAGGTGATCCATCAGCAAGTTCAAGAGATGCTGAATGACGACATCATCCAAGCTTCAAGCAGTCCATGGGCCTCTCCAGTCGTGCTGGTTAAGAAGAAGGACGGAACGCTTAGGTTCTGCGTGGACTACCGGCAGCTCAACGCGGTGACGAAGAAAGACGTCTACCCACTTCCCCGCATCGACGACACGTTAGACCGGCTGCGCCACTCTCGATACTTCTCATCGATGGACCTGAAGAGCGGCTACTGGCAGATCGAAGTCGACGAACGGGACCGAGAGAAGACAGCTTTCGTCACGCCGGATGGGCTGTACGAGTTCAAGGTGATGCCCTTCGGACTATGCACGGCGCCAGCAACTTTCCAGCGTGTCATGGACACCGTACTGGCAGGACTGAAGTGGCAGAGTTGTCTCGTCTACCTTGACGACGTCGTAGTATTTTCAGCTGACTTCGACGAGCACTTGAGACGACTCCGAGCTGTTCTTCAAGCCATTCAGACCGCCGGACTCACATTCAAGCCGTCAAAGTGCCGGTTCGCCTATGACGAACTGAAGTTCCTTGGCCACGTGGTTAGTAACGAAGGCGTCCGCCCAGACCCCGAGAAGACTCGCGCCGTCGCGGCATTTCCAGCGCCGACAGATAAGAAGGCCGTGCGAAGGTTCCTTGGACTTTGTGCCTATTATCGACGCTTCGTTCGGGATTTCGCAAGGATTTCCGCACCACTTACGAATCTCACGAAGGACGCCGAGAAGTTCGAATGGGCCGAGGAGCAACAGCAGGCATTCGACGAACTGAAACGACGACTCCAGACTCCTCCTGTGCTTGGACATTTCGACCAGGATGCGGAAACAGAAATTCACACGGACGCAAGTAACGCGGGACTGGGCGCAGTACTAGTCCAAGTGCAAGAAGGCATCGAGCGAGTCATCGCCTACGCAAGTCGGACATTGTCCAAGGCGGAAAAAAATTACTCCACGACTGAGAAAGAATGCCTTGCGGTCGTCTGGGCAATAACGAAGTTTCGTCCGTACTTGTACGGGAGCCCATTCCGTGTAGTCACGGACCACCACTCGCTCTGCTGGCTTGCGAACCTGAAGGACCCGTCAGGACGCCTCGCTCGATGGAGTCTTCGACTACAAGAGTTCAACATGACAGTGGTCTATAAGTCAGGCCGCAAGCACAGCGACGCCGACTGCCTGTCCAGAGCCCCCGTCGAAACCCCTTCCGGCTGCAGCGACGACAATGACGACGAGTGCTTCCTAGGAGCAGTGAACACCGACGATATGGCACGACGTCAACGGGACGATCCTGAGCTGCGCGCATTAATCGAGCACCTGGAAGGGGGCAGGAGTACCGTGCCACGTGTCTTCTCACGAGTACTGCCGACCTTCG